TTTGAATTGTGGTGGGAGTCAGGAATACTGAATATTCCATGGACTGCTAAAACAAACCAATCATACTTGAAGGAAGTTCAGCTGGAATGTTCCTTATAAGCGAGGATGGCAAGACGTCATCTGTCATCCTTTGGACATATCATCAGGAAGGACCAGTCCCTAGAGGGAATCATGTGTGATCAAGCAGATGGTCAATGAAAAAAGAGGAAGATTCTGGTTTTTATTTTATTTTATTGTGCTTTGGGTGGAAATTTATAGAGCAAAATTTGTTTTACATTCAACAGTTTGTGTACATTTTATTTCATGCCCCAGTTACCATCCCCGACCATAACAAACTCTCCTCCCCTCCTGTCCGTGACTACCCTTCCCTGTGCCCTTCTTAACTATGCACTCCTCTGTCCAGCTTTCCCTCTATGTGAATGCGGCCCCCTGATGCTCCATGGCCAATTCCTCTAAGTGGTGTATCTCCATAGAGTGGGTAGGTGGATTGCCCTGGGATAGGTGTTCTGCATGTAAGTCTTTCTGCTGTTGGGCTGAGAGCCAATCCATGGGAATAAGTCCAGTTCTAGGCCCAAAGGGTAACCCAGGGCCATAGTCTTGGGGGTTCCACCAGACTCTATCCAATCAGTAATTCTGGTCATTTTTGTGCTTTTGGATTTTGTTCCACATTTTTCCTCATACCCTATCCAGGATCTCAAGGTTTGATCTCTTTCTAAATGGTTGGCATTGGTAGTCAGGCAACATCTAGTTCTTCTGGCTCAGGGTGCATCATATCCTTGGACTAATTGTTTCCAGATGCAAAAGAAGATTCTTAATTAGATGGATTCACACAGTGCCTCCAACCATAGTCTCAAGAATAGCAATGACTGTGAGGATGACAAAGGACTGGGCATTGTATCATTCTGTTGTACAAAAGGTCATTATAAGTCAATACCAAATCAACAATATCTAACAATAATCTATACTGCTGAGCTTTTTTCTCATTTGTATATTTTCTTTACAGAAATATTCTAGTCCTTAATCCATTGTTGTCATTTTTGTTTCTGAGTTGTAAAAATAATTATATATTTTAAATACTAGGGAATTAACAGATATGTGATTCACACAAATTTTCTCCCATTCTGTGGGTTGTCTTTATCATATATTTTTCACTTTCTTGCGGAGAAATTTAACAATTTGAAAGCTAAGCATATCTAATTTTTCTTTTGTTGCTTGTACTTTTGGTGTGATACCAAAGAATTATTGCCAAATCCAAGGTCATAAAGACTTACCTATGTATTTTCTTCAAAAGTTTCTATTGTTTTAGCTCTTACATTGAGGTTTTGGATTCATCTGGAGTTCATTTTCTTTTTATATGGGGAAAGGTAAGGGCCTAAGTTTGTCTTTTTGTATGTTGATAACCAGTTGTCCTGCCACCAATAGTTGAAAAAACTATTATTTTTCTATTGAGTGATGTTCTGATTATGTCCTCTAAAGGGGTATGTTGAAATCCTAATTCCTAGTACCTGTGAATGCAATCTTCATAAAAATTTCAGCAGGCTCTCTACAGAAATGAAAAGACAATCCTCAAATTTAACATAGCACTGCAAGGGGCACTGATAGCCAAAGCAACCTTTAAATGGAATAAAAATGTAGGATTCACACTTCTTGACTTCAAAACATACTATAAACCTGCAACAATGAAAATATTCTGGTACTGGAATAGTGAAAACCATGTATATCAATAGAATAGAATTGAGAGTCCAGAAATAAACACATACATCTACAGTTAACTGATTTTCAACAAAGGTGCTAAGTCAATTGAATGGGGGAAAGAATAATTTGTCCCAATGAGATTTCCACAACCAAAGTAATGACATTAGATATGTATTTCAAAACATACATGAAAATTAACTCAAACTCATCAAATAACTAAATGTAAAAACTAAAATGACAAAGTTCTTAAGACAAAACATAGGGGTAATGATTTGCAATCTAGTTTTTAGCAGTGGACTGTTAGATGTAACACCAAAAACACAAGCAAAAAAGAGAAAATAGATCAGTTGTACTAATAATTGCTCAACTAACATATTGAGAGCAGAGGCTGGGGGACAGCAGGTGTGGTAGTTAAGGTTATGTGTCAACTTGGCTGACCCTGGTTTTGAGCGTCTAGGCAGCTGGGTGTAATTATTCTCCATGATGGGACTGCTAATCAACTCCATGGTAGAATGTACTGTGAGCAGCTGAGTAGCTGCCTTAGGCATGTGGTCTGCTTCCAGTAAATAAGCAGCAGCTTTTTAAAAGGTCTTTAAGATTCTTGGCACATTTGGATCCTGCATTTGAACGAGTCATCAGTGAATGGCCTGCCATGTTGCTTGCTAGGCTTGGGACTGTGCCACTGTATTTGCCAACCTTGGGTTTGTCGGCCTCAGCAGCCAGTAGCTGCCTCAGTTAAGAGATGCCTTCAGCTCCAGTGGGTGAGGAAGAGGCAGGACTGAAACCCAAGGTTGAGAGGCCTTCACCCAGCCCCTAGAGCTGGCACTTTGAACTCAGACTGCTAGCCTCCTAAAACATAAGAGAATAAATCCCTCTTTGTTGAAGCCATCCACTTGTGGTTATTTTCTGCTACTGCAGCACTAGAGGACCAAAACAGAATTTGGTACCAGGAGTGGTGTGCTGCTCTAACAGATAACTAAAATATGGAAAGAGGTGTGGAGTGTGTCCTTCGCCCTTAGATCCCTGTGCTAATACCTACAGAGAGACCAGTGGCAGCAGAGCCAAGAGACCAGAATGAGACAGTGACAGGCTTTCCTCCAGCCCATGGAGGAAAAAGCTGGACGCTTTTGAGCAGGTGGCTTCCTGGCAGAGTGGGTTACATTCCAGCACTAATTGGTAGAACAGACTGCCATGAGATGGAGCTGCAGGCTTGCAGGCCCACAGAGCAAGAAAGCTGAATGGTTTTTGGGCAGGAAGCTTCTTGGCAGAGTGGGATGTCTTCAGGTGTTAATTGGCAGAAGCTGAGAGACCAAGGAAATGGGAAGAAAAGCTGCCTCAGCCTCAAAGGGTAGGACCCTTGCCCTCTGGGGGTGGAACCACCAAAGCCTCCTGGGTTTCAGAGTCAGATGATCACCAACTTGGTTCTGGAGTGTGGGGCTGTTCTTGAGAGCTAGTTGGGATGGGGGTGTGCCCATAAGTGAGGGGGCAGGGCTATCATGCCCAAGAGGCAGAGGTACAGGGCCTACCAGGCCCAGGGGGTGAGGATGCTACTCAGGTGGACTAGTAGACTTTAGCCACCCAATGAAAAAGATCCATATAGGTGCCAAGTTGGCAAGAGTGGAAACGAAACAGCAGCCAGTTAGATTGATAGCAAAATAATATTGTGGATACTGCAGTAGCTCTGGTGGCATAGTGCCTAAGGCATTTAACTGCTAACCAGAAGGCTGGCAGTTCAAACTGACTAGCCACTCCATGGAAGATGGGGCAATCTACTCCCATAAAGATTTACCACTTCAGAAACCCAATGGGGGTTGCTATGAGTCATAATCAACACAATGGCAATGGGTTTGGTTTATTATTATTTAGTAGCAAATAGTTTTCTGAATTTGACCTAATGATCATTTCAGAGAATGATTTTTTTCCTCTTTTTTTTTATGGATACAATTTCAAATGTACATTTGCACCTTTTCGTTCTTTAACAAACAAGTACTGAGTATACTTAAGAACTGCTAATCATATATGGTTGTGTACATTCATCAGCAATGTCCCAGCTTTCATGAAGCTTATGTTCTAGTGAATATTGATTTTCATGTGTCCATCATTATACCTTCATGAAGACATGATCAAACTTCTAAGGCCTATCTCCTTGGATTTCATTTTACTTAGATCCACAATCAACACCCATGTAAGCAGCAGTGAGAAAATCAAATGACACACTACAGTGGGCAAAAGACATCTTTAATGTATTAAAGAGAAAAGATGTCACTTTGAAGATGAAGGTGCAACCAACAGACATGGTATTTTCAATAGCCTCATGTGTGTGAAAGCTGGACAATGAATAAGGAAGACCACAGAACAACTGATGCAATTGAATGTGTTGGCCAAAAATATCTAAAATAACACGGGCTGCTGGAAGACTAAACAAATCTGTCTTGGAAGTATAGCTGGAATGCTTCTTAGAAGCGAGAATGGCTACACTTCATCTCTTGTTCTTTGGTCATGTTATCAGAAGGGGCCAGTCCCTGAAGAAGGACATCATGCTTGGTAAAGTAGACAGGCAGAAGACCTTCAATGAGATGGACTGACATATATTGGTTGCAATGATAGGCTCAAGCGTTCCAGTGATTGTAAGGATAGGGCAGAACTTGGTAGTGTTTCATTCTGTTGTACATAGGGTCATTACGAAGTGGGATTTACTTGATGGCACCTAACACCATCACCTCCTGAGTGCTACCTGGCAACTGTCAAGGTTCTGACTGAAGCCCTTAATGCAATACTTACAAGGACACTCTCTGTTGTGTGATCTCTTTACTAGTGGGATTGGTTGAGCTACGATGGAAACACTGATGTAATGACACAGATATTTCCCACAGATGAAGCCTGATGATTTAAAGATTCAAGTTATAAGTGAGTTTTTTATAAAACATCTTCTTATAAAATTTCTTGACTCTGAGGATTATCTACCTTCTTGCCACTCACCACGTTTATAAAATTTATCATACCATGGATTCCTTAATGTCTTACCAGATATGACCTTAATAGGAAGTGTTTACATTATGTCACACATTTGCAAATTTTACTTCTCTGTGAATTTGATAAATATTGAAGTACTGAAGTCTGTGGGAAGATTTTATCATATGTTATATATGGATGGTTTTTATCCATTGTGGACACGGATGAAGACTTGAGGTATGACCGTTCTACCATACTACCTACATTTATTTGGTTTATATGCTGTGTGGACCCTCATATGATTATCTGGACTGAAGCCATACCCAAACTCCCCACATCTTTAGGGCTTTTCTCTAGAGTGTACTCTCTGGTGACAATGAAGTTGTGATTTCTGACAAAATGTCTTTCCACATGCTTCACATTTGAATGGTTTTTCTCCACTGTGAATTCTCTGATGGGTCAGAACATGTGATGCTTGACTGAAGCCCTTCCCACACACCTCACAATTATAGGGTTTCTCTCCTGTGTGGATTCTACAATGAATTTTAAGATCTGCTCTACGACTGAAGCCTTTCCCACACTGTTCACATTCAAATGGTTTTTGTCCACTGTGGATTCTCTGATGGATCAGAAGTTGTGAAGCATCCCTGAAGGTATTCCCACACTTCTCACAACTATAGGGTTTCTCTCCTGTGTGGATTCTACAATGAATTTGAAGATTTGCTCTACGACTGAAGCCTTTCCCACACTCACCACATTTGTATGGTTTCTCACCAGTATGGATCACCTGGTGAACTTGAAGTCTTGAAGTCCGATTGAAGCCTTGCCCACACTCCTCACACTTATAAGGTTTCTCTACATTGTGGGACTTCTGGTGGGTTTTAAGGTAAGAACTCCGACGAAAATCCTTCCCACACACATTACACTTATAAGGTTTTTCTCCTGTATGGATTACCAGATGAACCTGATACTGAATTTTCATCCTGAAAGATTTCCCACACTCCTCACATTTGTATGGTTTTACTCCAGTGTGGACTCCCTTATGGGAATGCAAATTTGACCTGTAAATGAAGCCTTTTCCACACACTTTACATACGTATGGTCTCTCTCCGGTGTGCACTCTCCGATGGGCCTGAAATTGCAAAGGCTGAATAAAGGTTTTGCCACATTCCTCACATTTATAAGGTTTTTCTCCTGTGTGAACCCTCTGATGGATATAAAGATACGAGGTACGAGCAAAGCCTTTCCCACACTGTTCACATTTGTGTGGCTTTTCTCCATTATGCACTTTTTGATGGGCTTCAAGATGTGAACTGCGACTGAAGTTCTTCCCACACTCTTCACATTTGAATGGTTTTTCTCCACTGTGGATCCTCTGATGGGTCAGGAGATGTGATGCCTGACTGAAATCCCTCCCACAGTCTTCACAACTATAGGGTTTCTCTCCTGTATGGATTCTAAAATGAATTTTAAGATCTGCTCTGCGAATGAAGCCTTTCCCACACTCTTCACATTTGTATGGTTTCTCACCAGTATGGATCAAGTGGTGAACTTGAAGGCGTGACCTCTGACTAAAGACTTGCCCACACTCTTCACACTTAAAAGGTTTCTCTACACTGTGGGTTTTCTGATGGATCTTAAAATATGAACTCTGACTGAAGCCCTTCCCACATACATCACATTTATAGGGTTTTTCTCCTGTGTGGACTACCAGATGAACTTGATAATGACTTTTCATCCTGAAACTCTTCCCACATGTCTCACATTTGTATGGCTTCTCTCCAGTGTGGACTCCCTGATGGGAATACAAATTTGACCTGTAAATGAAGCCTTTTCCACAAACGTTACATACATATGGTCTCTCTCCAGTATGGACTCTCTGATGGGCCTGAAATTGCAAAGGCTGAATAAAGTTCTTACCACATTCCTCACACTTATAAGGTTTTTCTGTCATGTGTACCCTCTGATGGATATAAAGATATGCGTTACGAGCAAACCCTTTCCCACACTGCTCACATTTGAAAGGTTTCTCTCCTGAATGGACCGTGTAATGAGTATTAAGTGCTGCTCTATGACTAAATTTCTTACCACATGTATCACATTGGAATGGTCTCTCCCCAGTGTGAATTCTCTGATGTTTCAGAAAATGTGAAGGATACATAAAAGCCCTCCCACATTCCTCACAAACATAAGGTTTTGCTGCTGTATGGACTTTGCAATGAACATTAACTGTTACTCTATGCCTGAAGCATTGCCTACATCCCTCATATTTGTGTGATTTCTCTCCACTTTGGACATTCAGATTACCTTGCAAATATGACCTCTGACTGAATTCCTTACCATGCTCATCACACTTATAGCAATTCTTTCCCATGTGAACTCGCTGATGATTACGAAGACCTGAGATATAATGGAAACTTTTTCCACACTCAATACACATGGGAGACTTCTCTCCTAAGCATGAACTCTCATGAAGATCAAAGCTGGACATATCACTGGAGGTTACTGTACTATCATTACAGTAGTGAATTTTTTCTCCTGTGTGAATAATAGACAGTTCTCGTGCAACTGGAGAGGGTGAATCACCTTGTTTGTAGAACTGAGACCTATGTATCATGGAATCTTGACACCTGGCTAAGTCACTTGAAATTTGTTGCCAAATATGCGAGGTTGAAAGCTCCTCGTGTGGTCCTGTTTGTGGAACAGTCTCCATCTGCCTTGGGTTCTTGTCTCCTGAAAGGAGAGAGAATTTAGAGACAGAGACAGGTGAAAGAGTTATTGAGACTTTTCAAGACATCACACTCAGATAGAAGATGAGACATTACTGAACCCAGAGATTACTTAGTCTTTACCAATGCTGCAGTACAGTGAATTACATAATGTGACATTCCTAGCTATAATCTTTATAATTCCAACCACATGACTGTGGGATTATGCAAATGTGGTGCCTGTGGCTCCCCAAAGGGATTGGACAGCTTGCTATTAATGTTAAAAAAGAGTGATGGCATCTTTTTGTGCCTGAGACCATGCAAATAAGGTCTATGCAGCCCTAATGTGGGGACTGGTCAGATTCACTATTCCACTAAACTTAAAGTGAGCCAGAGGCAGAGAGGGGGGACCTGATTACCACTAAGAAGAAGAGACATGAATGGAGCATATCCTTTAGAACCAGGATCCTCACACTGAGAAACTTCTGGACCAAGGAGACAAAGAGACAGCTGTAACAGCTTACTGAGACAGCAAGAAACAGCAGCAGAGAAATGGCTGCAGCATGACCAGAAGATCAGCAGGAAATGGCAGAGTGGGCTTCCAGACCCACAGAGCAAGAAAGGTTGAATGCTTCAGCCAAGAGGCATGCTGGCAGAATTGGATGTCTCCAAGCACTTAGAGGAGCTATCACTGCCAACCCACAGAGTGAGAGCTGACTGCCTTTCGGTTGAGGCTTACTGGTGGACTGGGCTGCCTCTGGGCACTTATCAATCGATCTGAAAGACCTTTGCAACACTTCCCCAGGCAGGGCAAAGGCCAAGGAGCTGCGGGACCCAGAGCGCAAGGGCCAAAGAGAGAGAGGTGTGCCTTTGGGTACTGCTAAGAAGAGGCTGCCCTGAATGAAGCACTGTATTCTAAGCATTCATGATCCTGAATTGTAACCTGTTACACTTTCTGAATAAGCCCCAGAATTGTGGGTATAGTGTGTCACTTCTGTGTGGTCACTGCACAAAATGGGAGAGACAGTGTCAGAAATGCTAAAAAAGGTTGGAGGGTGGAGGCACAATTGACTTCTCCCTCAAAGGAATCAGCCTTGGGCTGTTGATGAAGCTAATGATTCTCTCTCCCCCTCATGAAGTTAGAAGAGGTTCCATGATGCTGCTACCAGACCATTTTTAGAAATGTGTATCATGTTCTCTTGCTCACGTGTCATTAAAACCAAGAGTAGGTCCACTAGGCTCCAACCCACAAAACATTAAAAAGACCAGTTAAACAACATCAAGTCCAATATGTGTGGTACTATTTAGCAATACAAGCCTTAATTTGCAAAACTGGTAATATGAAGTAAATTAACCTGTTGCTATTTCTATGGAATTTCAGTGAATGTAGAATCATGGATGGTAAATTGTGTAGTGAGAAAAATTATGGTGAAAATGAAAAATGAATCAATGTCAATTTTGTAGATACTTTCACTATATTAAAATTCAACAAATGAATACATAGCACTTTAAAGAAAAGCAGTAACAATCAAAAAAGTGCATTATTTTCAGATTATTTTTTCAGTACACTTCTTAATGAAAGGCTATAAAAAGTACTCTCCAGGAAAATTTTTAGAGGAGAATGTCACTTTTATCCCCATAGGAACAGTCAATTAAAAGCTGCCTTGTTTGTTTTAGCCATGTAATTAGTTTCTGTAGAACTCAGTCTTGGGTTATATTACTGGAAAATCATTCAAATGTCTGAGGAACTGAAAGACCCTCAAATAGTTGTAATGATCTGCACTTTTCAGAGAAAAATGCATTATCCCTTACTGACTGAAATATAGCATCTAAACAGAAGAATGTTTTTATAGGTCCTGCTGGAAAGCGTCCTCCCTGAGGAAAAAAGGGGAAACAAAACTTGTAGTGGGATATACACCATTCTGAAATCTAGCTCACAACTTCATAATCTTCAGGGAAAAAAGTGGACCAATGCGAGCTAATCTTTGACAACACAGATGGAGCTGGGGTGGAAGAGAATAACAGGGAATAGTGCAATTTTCTGAATTTTCTGAAAGCAAATCCTATAACTGAAGTTACATTCTGCCTGCAGCTATACCCAGATAAGATACTATATGGATGATTCTTTACTTCTTTGAGGTCTCTGTTCAAGTGTCAGTCCATCAAAGAGTTCAATGAAGAATAATATACCTTATCTGCTGCCGGTTCACCTCTGGCAATTTCCATCCCCTGTGACTTATAATGTTTACAATTTAAATACTATGTTATACACAGTACTTATTACCATATGACATGTTTTAGGTCACTTTTGTTTACTGTCTGTGATAGTTGGAACTGTGTGTCAACTTGGCTGGACCACAATTCTGTGTGGTTTAAGCAATTGTGATGTGGGTTGTTCCAATGGTAGGATCAGATGTTTATGTTCTGAGCAGCCAATCCACTGAAAGGGAGTTTCTCTAGGGGGTGGTCTGCTTCCAGTATATTTATGGACATCCTGGGAAAAGAGACACTCTTCTGTGGATTGGGATTCTGTTGTGCTGCCTACAACTGTCTGTGCGCGAACAATCCACCATTCAGCCTGGAGATCTTGGATTCATCATTCATTGGAGTCAACAGCCAGTATACTGACTGCCAATCATGAGCTCCTCAGCCCCTGCAGCTGTGCGAGTTGGGAAAAGCCTCCAGCTTGACATTTGATCCAAGAACTTGGGACTTGCCAGCTTCTGTAAGTGTGTAAGCCATTTTCCTAAGATAAATTTTTCTTTCTTTATAATAAGCTTTACTGGTTTTGTTTCTCTAGAGAACCCAGTCTAACACATTTTGAACTGAGAGAGTGGGGTGCTGCTCTGACAGATACCTAAAATGTGGAAACAGGAGTGGAGTGCATCCTTGACCCAAGACCCTGGCAGAGAGACCCCAGCATACGGCACGACAGATGGCAGCAGCAGAGTGGAGAGACCGGCTTAAGAGATACTGGTAGAAAGACCAGCATGAGAGATGGCAGGAGCAGAGCCCAGAGACCGGCATTAAACAGCAATAGGCTTACCAGCCCATGGAGGAGAAAGCCAGGTGCCATTGGGTAGGTGGCTTCCTGGCAGAGTGGGTTGCCTTCAGGCATTAATTGGTAGAAGAGACCGGCATGAGATGAAATAGCAGATTGGCTGGCTCATGGAGCAAGAAAGCTGAGTGGTTTTTGGGCAGGAAGTTTTCCAGTGGAGTGGTTTGCCCTCAGGCATTAATCGGCAGAAGCAGAGAGACTAAGGAAATGGGAAGCAGAGCTGCCTCTGCCTTAAGGGTAGGACCATGGCCTTTGGGGATGGAATCACCACCACAGCCCTCTAGGTTTCAAAGAGTTAGACCTTTACCAACTTGGTTCTGGAGTGTGGGGCTGCTCGTTCATGTAAGCCAGTGGGATGGAGCCATAGCCGCTGCCCAAGAGTGAGGAGGCGGGGCTGCTGTGCCCAAGTGGGAGAGGAATAGGGCCTCCAGGCCAAGGGGATGAGGTCACCACTCAGAAACTAGGGGACTGGAGCCACCCAGTGGAGGAGACCTGTACAGATACCACCCACTGAAGATCTGTACAGGTGCCAAGTTGACAAGGGGTGGAATTGTGGTGGTTATTTTTGTGTGTCAACTTGACTGGGCCTGGCTGAGTGGCTGGGCAGCTGGTCAGAGTTATTCCCCATGATAAGAATGGCAATCAACTCCATGGTGGGATCTACCACAAGCAGCTAAGTAGCTGCTTTGGGTATGTGATCTGCTTCTCATATATAAGCAGCAGCTTTGGGACTGGTCTGTAGCTAATGGCACGCTTGGACCCTGCATGTAGCCGTGTCATTTGGCAGTCTGCCATGCTCTGCTGACCTTTGGACTTACAATAGACTTAAATTAATGGCCTGCCGTGTGGTTTGGTAACATCAGGACTGTGCCTTTTTTACTTGTCAACCTTGGGCTTGGCAGGTTCAGCAGCCAGCAGCTGTCTAAGTGAAGAAAAGCCTCTAGCTTCAGTGGGCCGGGAGCTGAAGGCAGAGCTGAAGCACGAAGCTGAGGGGCTTTCAACCGGTGCGTAGAGCCTGGAACTTTGAATTTGGACTTCTAGCCTCCTGAACTGTCAGAGAATAAACTGTTTGTGAAGGCCATCCCATTTGTGGTATATCTTAAGGCCATCCCATTTGTGGTGTATCCTTGTCAGAGCAGTACTAGATAACCAGAACACTCTCTATCTTTCAGACTGCAATATGAATAAGGACAAGCATTTACATTGTTTCCTGCTTGGTATTCACTGTCCAGAAGAGTGAATGGCACAAAGTGGGCACTCAAAAAGGGCATGTTGGGAGAATAAATCAATCCTTATTTGATGTGCTTGTGAACACATAAGCCAAGTCATAGAAGTGAAAAGCTTTTCCAAATAAGCAAAGTAAAATAGGATAGGAGCAGGAAACTGGAGTTTTGCTGGAAAACTGAAAGGCTGCACCGGCACGACCACTAAGAGACATGCTGCCAAGAAGAAAAGTAAAGGCAGCAAAAACCATTTTAGTGAAAAGAGAGTGTGAGGGCCTATGCCCAGGTTCTTTCTGAGGCTTCTAGACTATCACTTTGAAAATATTAGTGAAAATCTATGGATGTAGATAAACTGACCACCCTTACAACAGGTTTTCAAGTCAAAGATCACAGTCCTTAGTGAGCTTTCAAATAAATTTAAAAACATTAAAAAGAATTAAAAAAAAAGAAGAAAGAAAAAAGTATCAGCCCATAATCATAAGGGAAAAAAAAATGTCATTACAGGAAATGCTTTCTGGTTGTTGTTGTTGTTGTGAGGTGCTGTCGAGTCATGTCTGACTCATAGCGACTCTATGTACAGCAGAATGAAACACTGCCCAGTCCTGTGCCAGCTCCACGATCCCTGCTATGCCTGAAGCCATGGTTGTAGCCACTGTGCCAATCCATCTTTTGAGGGCCTTCCCCTCTTGTTGACCTTCCACTTTACCACGCATGATATCCTTCTCCAGAGAATGGTCTCTTCTT